CAGCGCGCCCGCGTCGCCCTGCGCGCACGGCGACGATGGTGGTGGCGGCGGCGGCGGTGGCGGCGGCAGCGCCGGTCCCAGCCTCATCGCCTCCTACCTGCTGCTGCCGCTGGCCGAGCGCGAGCAGGTGTCGCGCGCGCTCAGCGTCAGCTCCGGCCGCGAGCTGCGCTGCAAGGTGAGCGGGTGGCGCGGGGGGGACGCGCGGAGCCCGGCCCGGCGGGCTGCCCGCGGGGAGACTCCCCGTGCAGACACTGCTGACCTTGGAGCACCCGAGACGCGCCCGGTGTCCGCCAGCCGCCGGGACGGCTTTGGGTTTTCTTTCTCTTTGTTTTCTCCGTTCCTCTCTTTGTTTTCTCCGTTCCTCTCTTTGTTTTCTCCGTTCCTCTCTTTGTTTTCTCCGTTCCTCTCTTTGTTTTCTCACGAGCAGCGCTTTAACTGCGCTTTAACGCCGCGGAGAGCGTCGGAAGCGTCGCGGGCGGCCGTCCAGCGCCCCGCGCGTTGTGTGGGGAATGTTGCCATGCGAGCGGCCGCTCTTGACGCTGCGTTTTGCTCCGCTTTCCTCCTCACAGGTGTTCCCTCTCAAACACTACCAGGACAAGATCCGGCCCTACATCCAGCTGCCCTCGCACAGGAACATCACCGGTGTCGTGGAGGTGATCCTCGGCGACACCAAAGCCTACGTGTTCTTCGAGAAGGACTTTGGGGACATGCACTCCTACGTGAGGAGCTGCAAGAGGCTGCGGGAGGAGGAGGCTGCCCGGCTTTTCAAGCAGATYGTCTCGGCTGTAGCTCACTGCCACCAGTCGGCCATCGTGCTCGGTGACCTCAAGCTCAGGAAATTCGTCTTTTCTAATGAGGAAAGGTAAGAGGTTCTTCCTCAGCAGCCCCTGTGAGGGAGTGGATGGGGAGAAACGCTGGGCTTGGGGGGAAAAGGTATTGTGTGGGGTGGATTTTGCCYGGTGAGCCAGGCGTCACCTACAGAGGATCCCAGCATGACGTGTGCGTACGGAGTCACAGACCTTGCTGGGCTGCGCTTATTCACCATGCAGGGTTGGGTGATGAAGTGGAGAAGCTCAGTGTGAGCGCCCGCGCGCTCGCCGGTGCTCCACGGACCAGGGCTGGGCATGGGGACGTTCCTGGGAGTGCCCCACAGTGCCCCGTGCCCCATAGACACCCGTGCTGATCCTTTGCACCGAAAATGACTCAAAGGCTCCAAGTGCCTGAGGGAGGCGGCTCGGGCGCTGGGCACGAAAGGGAAAACTGCTGTTCCCTGATGGCAGCGAGAGGAAGGAAGCCCCGTTCCCAGAGTGGGAGAGGAGCCGCCAGGAAGGGTCTTCTCTAAGAGCTGCTTATGGCGGGTGCATTTCTAAGGAAAGGTTCCCTGTGCCCTTTGAAGTTTTTCTGTCTCTTCCCTGTTGGTGCTTTGTGCCCCTGTATCCGTGTGGATGAGGCACGTGCAGGAGCGAGGGTGCTACGTGGTTAAATGCTTCTTGGGGAGTTCTTCTCTTAGGGAAAAACACCATAGTGAAACTTGGTGTGAAGCACAGATTTCGGGAGGGATGATTCTAAGCCTCTTTGCTTAGAAATACTTTCCCGATTACTTTTTAATGTTAGATGTGGCAGTCGCTTCATGTTTTCAAGGTGCGTTTGCTGCTCCCCTGCTCCCTCCTTTGCACGGCACAGCCACAAGTGGGGTCTAATAAGCAAAGCTGACATTGATCAGGTGCTTATCCCATCGCAGGCTATAATAAGTAAAAGCTTTAATGCACTTGTCTGATGAGACTTGAGGTGCTAGTAGGAAAATGCTTTTTTTTTTTTTTTTTTTTTTTACTTAACTGATGCTTCTTGAAGTAACATGAGGAGTAACGTATGACTACGATAAGAAAATTAACCAGAACGGCCCCCCTGAAACAGAAACAGCCGTATGTTGACATGCAAAGAAAGCAATTCCTTTGAAAGAAGCAATTGCAGCTTTTCCCGCCCATAATGAGATGAAACTTTTGTTGAAATGTGAGGTTGCACACAGCCTTGCTAATGTGGAAACGCGCGTTGCACAGGCGAACGTCATGTGCGTGGCGTTTGGCAAGAAGAGGGTTAAGCAACGCGCGGCAGGCTCCTCGGCTGCGAGCACAGGTGCAGTTTCAGCGCGCAGCAGCCAATGGCGGGCCCGCCGCGCGCCTTGAGTCATATTTTCCGTTTGCAGAACCAATGGGTATTTTGCATTACAACAGGAGGTCACCTCGAGGACAGGCTGCAGTTAACACATTTACGCCCCAGCGGCCGGCGGGGCAGAGCAGAGCCCTCCCGGAGCACGTGAACGGAGCAGGGGGTCGGGGCCRACCCCTCTGGAGGACACGGCCCTTGCAGTGGTCCCCAGCTGGCAGGGGCAGAAAATAAAGGATGGGGAGTGACCCTGGGCRTGCAGGAGATGTGACTTTGGGTCTGGGAGGCCGTGCAGCTGGCGCTGGTTGCTGTGGGAGCCCGCGGTGCTGTCAGCATTGCTGCCAGGCACGGGGCATCGCGGGATGCGCGGGCCAGGAGAGCAGGGAGCAGCTTYCCTGTCTACTCCCTGCACCTTGGTGCCACACAGGGAGCTGCGACCGCCCCAGCGGGCGGTTTTTCCTTCTTAAATCGGAGCCTGTCCTGTGCTGGCGCCGGTGGGTAACGTGCGCCTGCCTTTCCTGTGCCCCTAGGACGCAGCTGCGGCTCGAGAGCCTGGAGGACACGCACATCATCAAGGGCGAGGACGACGCGCTCTCCGACAAGCACGGCTGCCCCGCGTACGTCAGCCCCGAGATCCTCAACACGACCGGCACCTACTCGGGCAAATCAGCCGACGTGTGGAGCTTGGGAGTGATGCTCTACACCCTGCTGGTGGGACGCTACCCCTTCCACGACTCGGACCCTAGCACGCTCTTTTCCAAAATCCGGCGTGGACAGTTCTGTATCCCCGAGCACGTCTCTCCCAAAGCCAGATGCCTCATCCGCAGCCTGCTGAGGCGGGAGCCCTCCGAAAGACTCACTGCTCCAGAGATCTTGCTTCATCCTTGGTTTGAAGCAGTCTTGGAGCCTGGATATACAGACCAGGAAACGGGAACTGCGGATCAAATCGTTCCAGAGTATCATGGAGACAGTGACGATATTAGTTCCTTCTTCTGCTAATCCTGAAAATCTCAAAAATCCCTCACGATTCTCACACACGGCATCTTTTATTTTTTCTTTTCTTTTTTTTTTTTTTTTGACTTTTGACTCACAGCATCTTGAAGTGCCAGTATGGTCCGAAAAGTGACCTTGTGTGAAGCAAATGTCAAGCCGTAGATCCGCTCCTGGAGCCTCTGCCGAGTGCCCCCAGCTCCCGTTGCCGGTGGGTCCCTGCCCTGGCCRGGAGGACCCGCGCGGGAGCCTCCTGGCTCCTCTCCTGGTGGAGAGGAGTCCGCAGAGCTGGACCACCAGGCACGGAAGAGGCACGAAGGCGGCTCCTGGGGTTCCCCATTCCCGCCAGGGAAGTGGTGCAGGGGGCACGAGACGCCTTCCTACCTGAGCAAATCTGACAAGAATTGGGGAAAAAGGGGGAACGGACTTGGAGCTTCTGCCTGCAGGAGGGAAGGAGGTCTCAATCGGCTGTCCGGCACCTGCRTGTGGCTCCAGCCGACCCCATCGCCTCTTGGTGAGGAACACGGAGCTGTTAAAGGTCCCTCTGCAAGACAAGTCACCACCCCGATCGCTGCTGTGACTCTTCCCGGAAGAGCAAACAGTTGATCTCGCAGCTGGATCCCCCCTGCTTTCATTTGCCGAACGTGCGAGCGTTTGAAGCCAACTGCTTAAGCCTAAAGCCACCGCGGCTCTAGCTCATCCTATGCCTTCAGTGAGCTTTGTGAGCAGCAGCTCCTGTCAGCTCCRAGTGCCAAAACGTATCCGTTTACTCAAACGTAACACTATGGGGTGGGGCGCCTTCCCTCGGGAATCGCTGATAAGCGGCATCTTGTACAGTATCTGCGAACAGTGTCGCGTTGTCCCACAGGCTCAAGTCTTTAAAACATCGCATCTCCTCTCCTCCTCCCTCCGCCGCCCCCAGAAAGGTAGTCTTAAGCATAGAAAAAATCCCTCAAGAGCCTTAGTTGATTATTCCGGTATGTTGTTTGCCTCCAACTGCGTTATTTTTCCCCCACGCTTTAGGAAAAAAAATTTTTTTTTTTTTTTTTTTTTTTTTTTGCATGGCTGCTCATAGGCTTTCCAATGCGGAGAATGAATAGATGGAAATCAGTAGCTGCCTGGGTTGGGGGTAAGTCAAGCTTAGGCCTGCCGGAAACAACTGCTTGTTTTCCCATTGGTGCCCGGTGTAGAGGGGCGCCCATTGGCGTTGGGCGAGCGAGGGGCGGCCGTTGGGCCCCGCAGCCCCGTGCGCTGGGGGACACTGCATTTACCTCATGGACTGCGTGCTCTGTACATACCTTCCTGGCCGGGGGGCTCTTTTTTTGTGTGTTTTTATTTTTATTTTTTCTTCGTTTTGTTGTACTTTGTCCTACTAAGAGGTGTCGAAGAGCAATTTAATGTGAATTACTGTTGGCAATACTAACTTGACAGAATCATGAGCATTAAGAGCGGGGCGGCCGCCGCTCTCCGTTGCACTAAACCTCTCATGATTGCTTGACATTTGTATCTGTGATACAGTTTAACCCTCCTACGGAAAGCAGTACCTTTGTATATATTGGTGGAAGACTCTGCCACAGAAAAGCTAAAAACACTATGTCTGACTTGTAAATACGTGTATATAGTATCATGTGGAAACCCAGATGATAAAGTCTGACCTGTAGAAACTTTTAATAAACTCGTTTCATAATGTTGGTCCCTGCTCCTTGTGCCGCGTCCCACTGCCCGGCAGGATGGGAGTGATTGCGCCGAGCGGCGCCAGGCTGAATCCCGGGAATAGGGGACATGGTGGGTGGCGAGGGCAGCATCCGTCCCCGCTGCTCCAGGGATGGATGTGACCCTGGTTTTTGGGCAAACCAAAGCCATGGCTCCTGCATTTCAGTTGCCGAGATGGCAGCAGGAGCTGCTTCTCCTGGTGCCTGGGAACCAGGGCTCTGGAGAGCAGCAGGATTGCGGCTGGGCAACGCCAGAGCCTCCTTGCGATCCACCCAGCGCGSTGAGATCATCCCCGGCAAGCGGCAAGGAGGAAGAGAGGCTGCGGCTTTATTTATCCTTTGCCTCATGTTTAACTTTGTCCTTTTGCTTGAAATCTGTTCGCCGCAGCAACTGCTTCCAGGCAGGTCTCGGAGCCAGAGCGACGCTCGAGAGGCTCTCCCTATATTTAGCCAGAGAGCTGAGAGCAGGAAGAGGGAAGAGGTACCTGGTGATAGGGTGATAGTGCAAAGCCAAGCTCCTTACTTTCTCMAGGGGCACAAGGTGCCTTGACTCCCACTGCAAGAAACCAGCCATCTATGCAGTAAGCTTATTAGCACTTGTCGAGCGAATGTCAAACACCAAAATATCCCGGGTTGCTTTGCTGAAGTTATTCTTGCAAGAGCAGTAAAAATACATGTGTCACAGAGCCCGTCTGATTAAATTACCCCCTACCCCGCCACACTTCAGGTCTTGGACAGGAGCCCCGAGGCATCTTCTTCAAACAACTGTGTGTTTTGGTAAAACCTTGCAAACTTGCAAAACACTTTTTTTTTTTTAAATCTTTTTTTTTCTTTCTTTTCTTTCCGGTCTGCAGTTCAGTCACCCTCCCTAGGTGAATGTGTAGGTCACCCCATGACTTTATTTCACATGAGCCACACTGCAGAGCAATTAAAATAAATGCCAAATTGTAGTAACATCTGCAAACAGCTTCTGTGTTGCTTTAGGGATTATCATGCAACATCCGTTTGTACAGCAGAATAAATTGCTAATGCTTCGTAACCCCATCGTTTGTATTATTGTATACAAAGTTTCAGAGCATGTTGAAAGACCAGCATATTAAGTGATTAAACTTTGATGGTGGGTGTGAGAACTTTGATTTATGCAATGCATACATTTCTTTTCGAGAGAGTCATAATTTGTCTATTTTTAAATGGACCTTTTGGACAAGGACTATAGGAATCACTGAATTTCTCTCTCCTGGCAGCTCACTGCTTCAGTCCTGCACTTACAAGGACTCTGAGAAATGCCCAGAGCCTTCAGCCATCTTTTTTTTTTTTTTTTTTTGCCGAAAGCAAAAAACAAAGAAGTTGAGGTTTTTCGCTGCTTCCCAGCTTCCATCCTAAAGCAGCACCAAGCTGCCTCCCAGCCAGGATAACCCTTACTTCATAGATATCTGTCTCTGTTAACTCTAAATTCATGCTTAGGTTGCATTTTAGCCCTCAGCTCAATTTTTTTTTTTTTTTTTAAACAAAGTCACGGCAAAATATATAAATTAGCCTGCTTTTAAAGTGCCAGGTAAAACAGCCAGCTCAGCACACTCTGCTTTAAGGTCAACGTTTCTCTGCCAAGCAGGTGATACCGCTGAGGTTACATGCAGCTAATTAAGAGATTATTCGTGCAGTTTCAGGTTTACCTACACTAAAACGCAGATGAATTTTAGGAGGCACCTTCAAGTCAGTTTGGGACACTTCTGCATCAGCGGGTTATTTAGGAAAGGCGGGGGAAAGGAGAGCTCTTTTGYGAAGATTTACAACATAAAAGTTCCTGCGCTTGGCTGACTCATAAAGCTTGGACAAGGCTCTTCTCTATCTCCGCCTTAATGGATTATGAGGAGGCCTGAGAGGGAACTTCTAAACACAGATACTGTTCAATCTGTCCCAGAGCATTCTGCCAAGCAAATCTCTCCAGATTCTCTCTTTATACAAAAGGATATAGGCATATATATAGAGTCACATTTTTCATCCTCTGGCATTCTGGCAGAGAAAAAAAAAAAAAGTTTAGCATTATGTCACTGCATAGATTTAGCAGCATGAAGAAATATCCTATGCAAATGATTCTTAAAAATATAATGTTTTCTTTAGAGCATTGACAAGAATAGCTTGACATATAACCACATTCTGAATTAGTCCGTTGCAAAGGAAAAAAAGTCTCTGCTAAATGAACCATCTTTCCATTGTTGGTAGAAACATTATAAAATTTGCAGCATTTTTTATGACAATTCCCCCCTAACTTACAAAATCCTGTTCCCAAAGTGAAATCTCTAGATCGTATTTCGACCGGGATCCATTTTGCTAACGCAAAATTGCAAGTCCTTCAGGATATGAGTTCACAGCAGAAACGTTTCTTTTCTTTTTTTTTTTTATCCCATTTTTTATTGGACCCAGCGATTTAGAAAATGCCTCCAAGAAAACTCATTAGTTTTCATTGCGCTGTACGTATTTATTTACAGTATTTAACCAGCTAAACAAGCTAATGTGCAGCACTTCATTTCCTAATTTGGCTTTGAAGCTGTAGCAGCAGAAGTATCAATTACAGCCTGTCAAATGCAAACATTAACATAACTGTATGAAGCAATCATGTTTCTAACAACAGCGAGCGCTGCCCAGAGGACCAAAATAAATAAAATCCGCCGGGTGAGAGGCAGCGCTTTCCTTCCTGGCGGCGGCGCTGGGGCCGTGCCRTGGCTCGATGGCTCCGAGACACGACGGGGCGACCTGGGACGTGGAGGGACCCGTCACCCACTGTTCCTTGTGCAAGGTGGTCGTGGGGAAAACGCTCCCCTCCTGCAGCTCCGGCCCGCAGCGAGAGCCGAGTTCGATGAGTTATTGGTGGAGATGTTCTCGGTGGCTTCGCTTAGATTGGACTCCTCTTGCGCAAACTGCAGATTAGGAAAGGATTAAGTAACAGCAGTGTGGCTGGAGTATTACACACAGCGCTGGCGCTTAGCCAGGGAATGTAGCATGCAAAAGCCGGCGTTGCCTAAGAAATCAAATATAGCTCTGGTCACCACAGAAAATGACTCTTCTCCACCACCACCTAAGGTGGTGGCTCTGTTTCTCTTGTGTCACCCGGTGTCTTGCAGCAGAAAATTGTTCATTGCAGCACTTTTTTTTTTTTTTTTTTTTTTTTTCCCCCTTTTAACTTCCAGGTAGTGACAAAGCCATAAACCATGTAGATGAATCACGGAAACCGTGAATGCAATTGAGAGCAAAGCCATCACTGGGGCTCGTGATATTCAGCAGGCTTTTTGCTCTCGCGGGGCTCTGAGGGCGGTGTGCTCCACTCTGTGCCCTGCGATTGACCAGGGGCAAAATATTAA